GGAGGGAGGGAGCGCCGCGGGCATCAGGCGGACAAGCACGAGTGGTAGCCGCACGTGTCACTTCACGACGCGCCACCAGAAAAACGAAAAAACGCATCAGTGTCGGAGTCTTTGGCCCCACGCGNACCGTGAGCACCAGCGATAATTCGCAGTATGGCGTATGAAGGAAGGGGGGGGGAAAGGCATGCGCATCACCCTTGACAAACTGAAAAGAGTAAAGTGCTGGGTGTGGAGGGAGGGAGCGCCGCGGGCATCAGGCGGACAAGCACGAGTGGTAGCCGCACGTGTCACTTCACGACGCGCCACCAGAAAAACGAAAAAACGCATCAGTGTCGGAGTCTTTGGCCCCACGCGAAAAAAAAACGAGGCAGGAACTGCTTGCCGATTACTGTACTCTCGATTCCTGTCACTCACATGGACATCTACTTGCGCGGGCCCAGTAGGTACGCCACAAATCCCCGGCGGTCGTTGACGATGTCCGGTCTGTTGTGGCCGTCGACGTACACGCACTTGTGATGCCTCGACCACCGAAAGCCAAGCTTCTGCATCCACTTGTGCACCGTCCTCCGAGAAACTCCTTTCGTACCGGCGAGTTCATCCTTCAGAAGCTCTTCATTGATCCACCTGTTTCAAAAAGGTGACGGCAGGATGAGTGCTTGCAACAAAGACCACCAGAACAATCGAAACAACTTGCAACCTGTGGCAGGCAGGGAACAGTTTATTTGTAATATCTTAGACAGATGCTCCCCACGAAAAGCTGAAGTCAGGTGGGACCGATCACCCGCCAATTGAGAAAAGTACTGAAGACAGCAAACACAAAACTCGATTACAAAGACAGGGACGAAGGTTGTTTCCAACGACCGCGTCCCGTGCACGCAAATTGTGAGGGAAGGGGGTCGGGGGGGGGAGGTGGGGGATCAAAGCCGGAGGGGGCTAGCGCTATTGGTACTCTAGGTAGAAAAACGCACCGCAGTACAGCAGTAGGAGCGTCTGCCTCAAACCGTATACGCCTCCTCGCAACGAAACAAATAATCGCGTGCGTGCCTACCTCTACCAACGACTGATATGCTCCTTCCGCATCCCATACTTCCAACCACACTCACTTTTGCACGTCTGCGATTCGAAGGCGCGGCTCGTCCTTCTTCCGCCGATACAGCTTGCGATCGATGTACCCCCTCAGGTGGTTGCGCTTGTCCTCGTCTTCGATGAAGGAGTGCGGCTCCCGCTTGTTGTACTGCCGTTTGGGGACAACGAAGGCGCCGCCCTTGCAAAACTCCTTCACCCACCGCCGCACTGCCTTCGATTCGACCTTGGCGACTTCGGCTGCGGCTCTACTGTGGTCCATTTTCGCCACACCTTCTTGGATTCTGTCGTACCGGCGGTACGGGCGTCATTCGTTTCGGGAAATTAGTGTCAGTACAGCAGTAATTTGTCCGACAGCAGTTAGTTGTCCGACAACAACAACATGCAGCGCCCGTGATACACTAAAAAAAAGCAGTCTCGCTCTAACGAATGAGTAACCGGAAGACAGATTAAGACAGCACCACACGTTCCCCGCCCACACTTCCTCGAGGTGTACGAAGTGCTTCACCGCGTGGATGACTTTGGTGGTGTGAACCAGCTGTGATCTGTCCAGCATCGTCTTCGGGTCCGCCACCACTGAATCGTAGCTGCGACTCTGCTCAGCCTGTGACGAGGAAACACACGTGCGGTTTCCAGAGCATTGCCGTCAGCAATTTCTGCGATCTCGTCTGAACAGCGATGTCGAGGTCGAAAAAAGAAACGTGGAGCTCGTGGCATACAAATGCCGCCCGAATAAAAAAAGCGACTGGCAACATTGGCGGTGGCGCCCCGTGGGTAGGGACGGCCGTGTTAAGAGCAGGCAGTAAGACTGTATATGACGCAGATAAAAAACAAGAATCAACGGTGTTTCGCCTTCCGTGATAAGCTCTGATCAGGTACTGCGCTGAAACACATGTGCAGGAAGCACAAACAACAACAGCAGTGCCGCTGCCCACAAAACGCCGCTGCCATTGTGGTTACAACTTAACCAAAAAATACCTCACCTTCTGGAGCTTGTCGTAGGCATCGCGGTACGTTTGCATCAGCTCCGCCTTACGCCTCGTCCAGTGCTTGCGCGCTCGGCCCCTCGCCCGATCCAGCTGCGTTTTCGTCCATGACTTCTGCTCCGACGCCGGCGCCTTCCTTTTGGCGACGCGATAGTTCTTGTTCATGCTGTACTGTGCCGCAACGAGATTTGATTTCTTGCAGACCTCCTCCGGCATCATAGCCTTGTTCCCCCTCCCTGTCCCACCTTTGTTGTTGCCAGCCGTGTTGTCGTATGGGCGCGTGGGTGCAGTAAACACACCGTCGAAACGACCGTCTCGGGTGCTTCGGCAGGAGGGCCCTGGTGCGGGATGCTCTGGGGCTGCGGGTACTCTAGAATGACGCATAGTGCCACCGATCTCACCGTTTTCCCCCGCCCCCTGCCGAACTTCTACTGCCGCTTTGTCAAGAAGTGTGGGGATCCAACCCTCTCGATAGAGCTGCTGCCATCGCTGCTCCTGCTGCTCCAGCTGCTGCTGCTGCTGAAATCCAAACCGTCAAGAAAACCGTCCGATAAGGTATCGCAGTTGTCCTCCAGCACTTCCTCGGCGTCCCTCATCTCTTGACCACTGCAAAACTCCTCGATCAAAAGCCCATGACCCGAAGCTATCGACATGTCGCCGACACTGCTACAGCTACTGCTGGCCTCCAAATGTCCGCTGTCGGCACAAACGCTGCCGCGGCCCGGAGGACCGGCGTGCGGCGCAACCTCTAAATCCACCGCTGGGTTCTCTACTGGACCAACCTCGCCACCGACAGAGGAGCTCTCCTCCTCGTCCTCCTGCTCCTTCTCCCGCCGCGCCCTCTGCATCCACGCTCCCATAGTTCGTGCCAACCCCGCTGCTTCCTTCCCAAAAAGCTTTTCTTGTTGCGATATGTTTGGCTCGCGAACAGCGTCGGGGGCCGAGCAGATTTACGCGGCGAAATTTTTTGTGCCGTGTTTCGTGCCGCGCGAGCTGCGGACTCCATCGTCGTCTGTGCGAAACGCAGTATCGACTGACCTCCACCACTGCTGTGTGCGCCGCTGGGATCCTCTTCGCACCAGTCCTCGTCGTTGACGTCCTCGTCTGCAGCCGCCTTCTCTTCCTCCGCATCCACATCCATCAACTCCGCGCCATCGTCGCCGTCGGAGAGCGCATCACCAGAGCCGGGTGGAAGTTCATGTTGCAGCGCCAGCTTCGGTTTCTGGGAAACCGCCCGGCCATCGGGTCCGCGCTTGCCGAACTTCTTCTTCCTTGCCCGTCCCTTGGGTTTCCCCATGGTGCTTGCGTGCGTGTTGTGTGTTCTTTGGGTCACCACGTGTGCGATTGGTTGTGTGTGCGTGCGTCGCCACCGGAAGAAAAATCTCCCACGGCTCGGCACAACTCGGCACAACAAAATGTAGAATATCTCGAGAACAAGATTTTTCCAGCAAAACCCAAAAATGCCAGCCTAGATATTGACTAGAGGAAACGTTTGCCGCAGTTTATTTTGAAATCGGCCGGTTGGTTATCTCGCATAAAACTAAAGAAGTTGGTGCTCTATATCAGGTTTTTGGGCGATATCTTCGTCAGTTTTGAATATTTTGAAAAAATATAAACAGTCTGGCAAATTGCGAGATCTGTTCGAATCCGTTGAGTTTTTTGGCGTCGGTAAACAACACACCCCAGGAAAAACAAGACAAGTTTTTCCGGTTTTTCGAGCATTCTAAGTCAAGAAAAAAAAACTCTCCCGTCACGCGATGCGCCTGGAAACGGGGCGTTTGCCGGTACTTTCGGATTTCGGAACAACCACTTGTATGCAAAGAAAAGTTGTCATTTGTGCCGGGAAATTTTTGGACAAATCGTCGTCCACGGACCATAGGATCCACGGCTGAGGTGTGTTTCTTGGTATATTTTTGTCGATCATCGCCAACACCTGAGCCTTTGTTTCAGGTTGGCTTGCTTCTTAATCGCTGGCGCTAAATGTAGTGTTGCTCGTAAGAAGGAGTAGGGAACACAGTGCACGGGGGAGTCAGCCGTAAGATATCCTAGGCTGTTTTTGAAGGCTTACACACACAGCGATTTTGCTTCCAAATTTCTAGTTTATTCGGTGCCAGTAGTCCAAATTTTCCAAATCTCCAAGTTTCCCCTGGGCCGCGAAAAATCGAGGGTCAACGGTCTACGGATTTGGATAGTTGAAAAATTGGAAGCGAAACATCTGCTGTATATAACAGTCCTTACAGGATGCTCAGGAGCCCGAAGTTGTGCCTTCTCCCAGCAAAGAGGGCATGTCTTACCGTAGGCAAGTGTGAATCACCCTTCCAGTGGTG